ATGGGTTGTGTGTGGACTTGCCAAAAGAAACAAAAAACAGAAGCAGTAGTAAAGTAAGGCTTTGAAGCGAACTTCGCGGTAAACATTAACCTTTCGAACAGATATAGGTTTTTTTTATTCTAGAAAAAAAGAAGAAAATTCATAAGAAAACCGGAACGTTATTTGTTTGAGGTTTTTACCAGATTGAGATCTTACAACCTGGAACGGAACCAAGAAGGATAAACTTTTTTACAGATACGGTATGACGAACTGTGCCGCCCAGCTAGAAGGTGTTTGTTTAATAAGAAAAAAAAAAAAGAAAAAGAAGAAGAAAGAAGAAGAAGAAGAAAAGAAGAAAAAGAAGGAATAAGGAAGGGAATGAAAAAGACAAGGAAAGAAGAAAAAAGAGAAAGACAAACAGTAGAAAGGGAATGTATCCATAAACTCCAGTCAAATGGCGATGTAGTGGAAAGAGTGAAAAAAGAATTCCGGAAAAATAGAGAAATAAAGGACATGGATGAATTGGCTTTTTTGTTGAAGAAAAATACAGGTATGATACTAAGAAGAACGAATTGGGATAATCTCCATGAATATCTGGACAATTTGGGAAAATAAGAAACAAGAGAGACAATTTCTTTTTGAACTTATTTTATATTTTATATTTTTGAATAATAAGATATGAACCAAGAAGATGGAATGGAAATCATTTTTTTTTTGTTTTTCTTTTTTTGTGTATTTTTGTAGAATTTTTTTTTAGGGGTTATTTGGGATTTTAGTATACTTTTTTGTTTCTTCTTCTTTCTCTTTTTTCCTTCATTTCCTCACTTTCCTATACTTTATTGTTCTCACTCTTTCGTTGTAATTATAATTATAATTAAAAAATGTTCTCCAGAGGAAAGAGGTGCAAAGAGGGAAGAGCAGAGTAATGTTTTGAATAATAAGAATTATATGTGGCATCAGGATTTTAGAGATGCTGCTTAGCTGGATGCTCTGGGCACAATTCAAAGTGGTGGTTATGACCTTTAAAGCCCTAGACGGTTCAGGTCCAGGCTGCCTCTCCTTGTATGCACCTGCCCAGGCCCTGAGATCTTCAAGGGAGGCCTTTCTCTCAGTCCCATCTCAAGCTTGGTTGGTGGGAAGACAATGGCAAATCCCCTGTAAACAAACCTTACCAAGAAATCCCAGGATGAATCTAATGCAGTGTGACACCATGTTCACTGCCACAGCTCAACATTATGGAAAGCTTGTAGTTTTACAAGGTCTTTAGACAAAGAGTGCTGGCACCTCACTGAACTACAACTGCTGTGGTTCCGTAGTATTCATAGTAATTCAGACAAAACAGAGATGCTTGGCATCAAGGGCCCTAATCTGGGGATGGAAGTATGTCAACCAGTTCTGCATGGGGTTACACACCCCCTGAAATACTATGTTCGTAGCTTGGGAGTGCTCCTGGATCTGCCTCTCCAAATGTCAGCCCAGGTAGATGCAATGGTCAGGAGTGCTTACTATCAGCTTTGGCTGATCAGCCAGCTGCACTAGATTTGGAGGACCTGAAGATGGTAGTGTATGCACTGGTAACTTCAAGGTTGGACTTCTGCAATGTATTTTACATTGGGCTACCCTTGTACCAAGTTTGGAGACTCCAACTGGTTCTAAATACAGCAGTTAGATTGTTACAAGAACATCTAAGAGTGAGCATATCACACCTATCCTAAAGTCAATCCCCTGGCTGCCAATTAGTTTCTGGGCAAAGTATAAGGTGTTGGTTTTGACCTTTAAACCCCTACATGATTTGGGTTCAGGTTACCTAAATGGTCACCTTCTCCCATACAATCCTCCCCACACACTTCAGTCTTCTGGGGGGCATCTACTCTAACCAGCCAGAATCCGACCGGCAATTTAAGACACAAGTGAAGACCTGTCTCTTCCAGCAGACCTATCCAGACAGTCTTTAAACATTAACTGTAATGCATGTTATAGCGAAATTAAACGATGTCTGGGCAGGGGTGGACAAACAATCACACCGCTGCCACCAATATAGAGAAATTAAAGGCTGACCCTATGACCGAATGTTCTTGGTAGTATTAGCTGCCACCACCTCAGAATTACTGGCCTAAGGAACCAAAGGGTGTGAATGTGTTTTAGGTAAGGGGTATTTGAGCTCTTGATTCTTCCATGGCTTCCTCCCAGGCTGACTGGACTATAAAATGCTTTGACAAAGTGAGTTCTGAGGAAAAGGATAGATTGAGGCATACACCAGTTAAAAGTTAACTAGAAAGAGTTTATTGAACTTTATATTAACAACAACTCATAGAAATGAGTGGTACAGAAGCGTGATTCAGTTGCAGAAACTTGGTTACTTAAACAGTTCCCCTGACAGAAAAGCTTTTAACAACTGTGAGACTCCTTAAACATACTGTTCTATCTTTAGACACAGTATCTCTTGGGAACAGATCCCTATCTGTCTCCACCACAGGGTAGTAAGCTCTGGAGACAAATCTTTCTTTTACTGGCTCTCAACACACAGTAAAATACTAGCCTAATGTCTCAGCCTATTTCCCTAAACCTAAGGCTCACTAAAAGCTCTTCCCTTTCTGTCAGATCCCTGCTGTAACTTTCTATCTAAAAATCACAACCATCTCTGTCTTAAGTCAAGACCCTTCTCTCCCTGTCAAAATCTGGCAGCTTATTTTCCCTCTCTAAACCGACTCCTCCCCCAATTGCTATACCCAATCAGGAGTCAGCTTGACTCCTCCTCCTGTCCTGCCTGCCAGCCAAGATGACAGCCACTGTCATGTAGGCTTCGGCCTAGTCGACTGAAAGGTAGTTTTCATTACACATGTCCTTTGTTTAATCACTTTTTTGTCTGTTTAAATATGAGATACATTTTGGTATGTATCTTTTATGGAGGTATGCTTTAGTGTGTGTATTTATTGTGTATTTTAATTGTTTTGTAACCTGCCTCGAGCCATGAGAGGTGGGTAAGAAATAAAATTATTATTATTCAGGCATGGCAGTTAAAGTGGTGCCAAAGTGCATCAATTCTACTGTGCAGATGCACCCCTGGGTTTTTTTTATTTATCTTGTCAGGAGCAAACCAAACAGTTGTATTGCATTTTTAACAAACAAACGAACACAAAGTTTGCAAGCTTGGTAGCTGATTAAATGTCCTTTGACCAGTAGCTGGCCACTTGGAGTGCCTCTGGTGTTACTATAAGAAGGTCCTCCATTGTACATGTATCAGGGCTCAGGTGGTCTGCTCTTCTCCACACTCGCATGTTGTGGATTCCACTTTGTAGCCCCATTTCTTAAGGTTGGCTCTGCATCTTGTGGTGCCAGAGCGCAGTCTGTTCAGTGCCTTCCAAGTCGCCCAGTTTTCTGTGTGCACATGGGGGAGTCTCTCATTTGGTATCAGCCATTGATTGAGGTTCTGGGTTTGAGCCTGCCACTTTTGGACTCTCACTTGCTGAGGTGTTCCAGCGAGTGTCTCTGTAGATCTTCAAAAACTATTTTTTGATTTAAGTCATTGATGTGCTGGCTGATACCCAAACAGGGGATGAGCTGGAGATGTCACTGTCTTGGTCCTTTCACTATTGGCTGCTACTTCCCGGCAGATGTCAGGTGGTGCAATACCGGCTAACAGTGTAGTTTCTCCAGTGGTGTAGGGCGCAGACACCCCGTGATAATGCGGCATGTCTCATTAAGAGCCACATCCACTGTTTTAGTGTGGTGAGATGTGTTCCACACTGGGCATGCGAAATGTGGACCGTCTACAGACGTCACATGCAACTCCTGGAACGATTCCATCAGTGCTGCCTCCGGAAAATCCTGCAAATCTCTTGGGAAGACAAGCGGACAAACGTCAGCGTGCTGGAAGAAGCAAAGACCACCAGCATTGAGGCGATGGTCCTCTGCCATCAAGTCCGCTGGACCAGCCAGTTGTCTGGATGCTGGACCACCGTCTCCCAAAGCAGTTGCTCTACTCTGAACTTAAGAACGGAAAACGGAACGTTGGTAGACAGGAAAAGAGATTTAAAGATGGGCTCAAAGCCAACCTTAAAATCTCTGGCATAGACACTGAGAACTGGGAAGCCTGGCCCTTGAGCGCTCCAGCTGGAGGTCAGCTGTGACCAGCAGTGCTGCAGAATTCGAGGAGGCACGAGTGGAGGGTGAAAGAGAGAAATGTGCCAGGAGGAAGGCGCGTCAAGCCAACCCCGACCGAGACCGCCTTCCACCTGGAAACCAATGCCTTCACTGTGGGAGAAGATGCGGGTCAAGAATAGGGCTCCACAGCCATCTACGAATCCACAAGGAAACCCATCATGGAAGATTATCTTACTCGTCCAACGAGGGATCGCCTAAGTAAGTAAGCATACTCAGCAGCAGAGTGGCAAAGTGCAAGGGCAGATGTCTTCACTGTGTCTGGTTGTGATCCCCAGGTTGTGCCAGTCAGCTTTCGTATGATATTGTTTCTAGCGCCCACTTTTTGCTTGATGTTCAGGCAGTGCTTCTTGTAGGTCAGAGCACCCCTGGTGATAAGTTTGCTTTAGGAGGGCAATAAACCATAATTACTTACCCTGAGGTAAAAGGGAGTCCTCAGGCTGTACTGCTGAAACATTTAAACTCACTTTTCGAATAAGAAATCAAAAGCTAAACTCAAGGAAGGTGGCACATTATTCCACAAGCCTTAGGGTCGCCAGAGGAAGGGAAAATTAAGGCGCCCCAAAACAACACTGTCACAAACAGCCTCAGCGAGCACTCCCATTCCCCACCAGACTATTATTATTATTATTATTTTGCTCTGTCTCTCATACAACAATTCCCACCCGCTGTTCATGCTCACCTCCGTTGCTGCTCTTCCTAATTGGGACAAACCTTTCACCGAAAAGGCGACAGTGCGGGGCAGAAAGCAAGAAAGGATCTTCAACTCAAAGCCACCTCACTCCTGGGCGCCGCCATCTTGGAAGGCGCTTTGCGCAGGCGCACAAGGATCCCCGGCTGAGAGGCGTGGCTAGGGAGAAGCTGCTTGGTGGGCCGGGCGAAAGAGCGCGCGGCGTTTGAAAAGGCAGCTCCGCCTCTTCCTCGGTGCTTTGCAACAGCTGAGAGCAAGGGGTGGAAGTCGCTCTTTACTTCCAAGGCGTGTTTCTTCCTCCCCTCCTCATGCCGGTCGCCTTTTTTCTAAAAGAGGGAGAAAACGGCGTTCTGAATATTGCTGTAAGTAAACATGATTTTGAAATGAAATGAAATTCTGGGTTGCTGTCTGGCCATGTCCCAGAAGCATTCTCTCCTGACGTTTCACCTACATCTCTGGCAGGCATCCTCAGAGGTTGTGAGGTCTGTTGGAAACTAGGCAAGTGGGGTTTATATATCGTGGGAGAAAGGACTCATGTCTGCTTGGGGCAAGTGTGAATGTTGCAAGTGGCCACTTTGATTAGCATTGAATGACCTTGCAGCTTCCAAGCACGGCTGCTTCCTGTCTGGAGGCATCCTTTGTTTGGGGGTGTTAGCTGGCCCTGATTGTTTCAGGTCAGGAATTCCCGTGTTGTTTGAGTGGATAGTAAATAAAGTAAATATATATAAAAAAGGACAGTAAACAAAGAGTAACAGTGGTCCATGGACAACCATTTTGAGTAGCATTGGCTTAGACCGCAAACAACAGTATACATTGGATTACTGGGAGTTTTCCGGGCTGTATGGAGCAGACTCCAGACTGCTCACTGGAGCGACATACAGAGAGCACACCATCCCTCTGCTGTGTCAGCTCCACTGGCTGCCGGTTCAGTTCCGAGCCCAATTCAAGATGCTGGTTTTAACCTACAAAACCCTGTACGGTTCTGGTCCAGCGTATCTGTCCGAACATATCTCCCTCTATGTCCCACCATGGAATTTAAGATCATCTGAGGGGGCCCTGCTCTCGACTCCACCGCTTTCCCAAGCGAGGCTGGTGGGGACGAGGAGCAGGGCCTTCTCAGTGGTGGCCCCTCACCTGTGGAACTCGCTCCCAGTGGAGATCAGGGTGTCGACATCACTCCTGTCCTTCAGGAGGAAGGCAAAGACATGGTTGTGGGACCAGGCCTTCGGACAATCTGCTAACTAGGTAAGGACAACCAGACAAATAAGACCAGCAGGACTGATAAATGTGGAAGGAAACTCTGAACTAAGAGATAGCGAACATTGACCGGCAATAAGGAGTAATTGGTTTATATCGGTTTGTATGAAATGTTTATTGGTTTTATTGTTTTTAGTGAGTATAGATGTAATGTATTGCCGCTGATTGTTAATTTGCGTTATTTTGTTTTATTGCTGCTGTATGTTACAAGCATTGAATTGTGCCTTGGTTGTGTAAGCCACCCTGAGTCCCCCTCGGGGTGAGAAGGGCGGGGTAAAAGTACAAAAATAATATAATACTCACAGCTATTCTTTGTTGAGCAATATACCCTGCAAGGAGTTACAACAGGAATCCTTCTGAATCTTTACCCTGCAAACAGAACATCCCAAAGGGCTAAACAATACCAATTCATGTGACTGTTTTTTATAACAGAGTAGGTTTTACCCCAATGTATTCTGAACTGATAATGTCACTATCGCCTGACCAATGGGTTGAGTTATTTTGATCCTATACTCGCCACAGAATAAAACTCCTTGCAGGGTATATTGCTCAACAAAGAATAGCTGTGAGTATTATATTATTTTTGTTTCATAGATATTATTTCTCTATGTATGGTTTATAATTCATGTCACAATGTACCTTTAGCCACTATCTATGTCCCGTTAGGATCCACCCCTCCAGAAGACTGTTGGTGAATTTCTCACCTCAAAAGTTGAGCTTTTTTTGATAATTTGAGTAACTAGAGTGTCTGTATATATTCTTACAAACTTGTCATAACAAATTGTTCAGTTGTATATGTGTATTCATGATATGTGTTGTTTGTACACCCAACCGCCTGACGAAGACACTTGTGAGTCGAAACCGGTTGCAGGTTGGAGTCAATTCATGTGACTACTGGAGTCTACTCATATGTAATAAAGAACAGGACATTTTCCCAAATGAAGACTTTGTTTTATACTTCAGGAGAAGAACCAGTTGTTTCTACTTAATGCGAATGTGGCAGTTTTTTTGATATGTGTATTTGTAATATATACATTGCATTAATTTAGTTATTTTCATATTTCCACAATCAGTGGATTTTGGTCTCCACAGTTTCAAGGGAACCCATTTTTCTTTTTTGGTTAAACCCTTGTGCCGGCAGGACTGCTGACCAATAGGTCAGCAGCTCGAATCCAGGGACAGCGTGTTGCACTCCCTCTGTCAGCTTCAGCTCCCCATGCTGGGACATGAGAGAAGTCTCCCACAAGGATGGCAAAACATCACACACCGGGCATCCCTGAACAATGTCCTTGCAGACGGCCAATTCTCTCATTCCAGAAGCAACTTGCGTTTTCTCATGTCGCTCCTGACATGAAAAAAACAAAATAAACAAAACTATCACAAATTTATACTTTATGGAATATTTTAGAATTCTGGATAAAAGATGCTTAATCTGTATTTTGCTTTTCTTTCGCTTTTCTTTTGCTTTTGGCAGCTAGGCGTTTGTATCTTTTGCACCAGTCATCTTTCTGTGAAGAACAGCCAGCTCAAATCAAAGAGGCGGTTCTGTTTCTTTGCATACTTTGGTATGTTATAATAACATGTGATTTTAGAGAAACCTAGCTTATGCTATTTATTTATTTATTTACAGTTCTTATATTCCGCCCTTCTCACCCCACAGGGGACTCAGGGCAGATTACAGTAAACACATATATGGCAAACATTCAATGCCAGTTTGACAAACAACATTTAACAGACAAATACACCAAGGCTATTTAACTTTTTTTTTCTGGCCGCCAGGGGAGCTGCTGCTTTTCATCGTCCATCAACGACACTGATGAAGTTCTTCCGCATTCCACATTCCCCGGAGTCTTTTATCTTTATGGCCTCATAAATTAGTTAAATTTAGCCTACCACACAAGGTGGTACCTTATTTTCCTACTTGACAGATGTCTTTCGGGTTGCAAAGGTCGACAACAGGCTACACAATGGTTGCAAAGGTCGACAACAGGCTACCCACTCCAGCCCGGGCTGGCTTCGAACTCATGACCTTTTGGTCAGAGTGATCTTAATGCAGCTGACACTCAGCCAGCTGCTCCACAATCCCGGTGCTATGCTATGCTATGACACTCATCATCTCACACTATTAAATATGCTGACTACAGCTAATGGCAGTTGTAATAGAACAACATCTGTAAGATGACAAATTTCTGCTAACAGATTGCGCCCTGTTCTACTTGCTTTCTACTTGCTTCCTTGGAAGATTCATGGTAGTCCTTTATATAAGAGTGATGGGTAATTCTCTTTGTTACTTCTGATGCTGTGAAATGACTCCTTAATGGGCTTCAGCAGAGGTTGAAATTCAGTTGCTCTATGTGTAAGTGTACAAGTTTCTTCTGGAATTATTCTTCACTTTAAAAATAGATAAATGTTACTGTGTATATAAGGGTAATGGCAGACTGTGACACCTATCAGTTTAGTTAGTGAGAAATAGTGGGAGATTCACCTTTTATGTTGAACACTCCCAACTGAAAGTGTTAGTCCAACATATCAGGAGGACAAAAGTTTTGGAGAGTATCAATTGTGCTTATTAAAACTTTCCTGTGTTTCAGATTGGAGTCCTTCCTGAACCGGAGTTAAGATCTTCTGCAGAGAAAGTATGTATTAATTATTACATTATTTTATTGTTTCCTATTTTCCCCATGAGATGCCAGGGTAACAAAACAAAGTCTCATGACCTAATTACATGTATTCTAAACCGTGTTAAGTACTCAAAGAAAAGCATGTTAAAATCAAATTATTTAAGCAAGAACATCAAAACTTGTCCAGCCAATTTTTCAAAAAGAAAATCTGAGTATCTGTCTTTTCCTTGTAAATAGGATAGCTGTATTATAATGATAATTCATCTAGTTAGCCTCCAGTAAAGTAATTTTCAAACCATATTTCACAAGTTTTAAATGAGAAGATGAAGTCGGATCTGGCCAGGGTGGTCCATGCCTTAGTCACCTCCAGATTGGATTATTGTAATGCACTCTACGTGGGGCTGCTCTTGAAAACGGCCCGGAAATTTCAGTTGGTACAACGGGTGGCAGCCAGGTTACTAGCTGGTGTGATTTACAGGAAGCGGTCAACCCTCTTGTTTAAGGAGCTCCACTGGCTGCCGTTCATTTTCCGGTCCCAATTCAAGGTGCAGGTTCTTACCTACAAAGCCCTTAATGGTTTGGGACCCGCTTACCTGCGTGACCACATTTCTGTGTACGAACCCACACAATCTCTTCGATCATCTGGAGAGGCCCTGCTTGTGCTCCCACCTTCTTCGCAGGCATGATTGGTGGGGACGAGGGAGAGGGCCTTCTCGGTGGTGGCCCCCTGACTCTGGAACTCACTTCCCAAGGACATCAGGCATGCCCCAACTCTGGCAGTCTTTAGGAGGAGCCTGAAAACATGGTTGTTCCAGTGTGCCTTCCCAGAATAAGGAAAATTCTCAGCAATATGCCCTCAAAATGCACTTTACCACTGATTTAGGATTGACTGCATTCCCTTATCTCTCTTGAAAACCCCATACCAGTTATATCCTACCTTGTTCATGCCCAGTGTTATTTTTTAATTTTTTAAACTATTACATTTGGGCCGGCCATAGGCTTTTAAATCCTTGTGTTTTATTGTTATTGTTTATATGTGATTTATATTAACTGTATTGTATTTTTTGTTTTTGTTTATTGCTTTTGTTTATTGATGGACTGTTGGGCTTGGCCTCATGTAAGCCGCTCCGAGTCCCTTGGGGAGATGGTGGCGGAGTATAAATAAAGTTTTATTATTATTATTATTTATTAAGATAGTGGGCCTTTGCACACAACCCAATTATAGGACTGTGATTCCTCTTTTGATAGCCATTGTTCCATCCTATAGTATTCTGGAACTGGCAGTTTAGCAAGGGCTTTTTATATGTTTTAGCCAAAGAGCTCTAGTACCTCCTGTTGGGATTCAGTCCGACACTGCCCAAGTCTCAAGTCTTCAGTGAGGAACAGTTGTTAGCTTAGAATACAGACTAAGGGTTTCTCTTCCCCCATGTCTCCCGAATGACAGTTGGGAATGCATCTTTTTCTTCTCTCTTTCCGCTCTCATTCTGATCTGCAAGCCTTTTGAATCTGACTTCTGCCTTACACTTTAGTATGGAGAGTAAGTGCTGTGTGCTTTGAGATCTCTCTCTGCATGTGTGTCAGAGAGATGTAGTGATTGAGGTTTTTCCTCTCTTGAAACCTTAGAAGAGATGAGTGTTAGAGTAGCTCAGATCCTGTTGTTTATTATTAAGATGCAGTTATTTCTTATTATGGTAAATAAACCTTTTGTGATTTTTTTTAAAGATTGGACTCTGCATGTTTGCAACCTAAGCTCTGAATTCTTTACAGCCACATCACACGGTACTTCACATTCTCTCGCTAATGAACTGGTGCTCAACTTTTGTATCCTGTTAGTTTTTGGATGCTCTGCTTTATTTTAGGGTAGTTTTCTCTAACACCTCCCACCACCACTACAAAACCCAGGATTGCTTAGATCAGTGGTTCTCAACCTGTGGGTCCTCGGATGTTTTGGCCTACAACTCCCAGAAGTCCCAGCCAATTCACCAGCTGTTAGGATTTCTGGGAGTTGAAGGCCAAACATCTGGAGACCCATAGGTTGAAAGTCTCTGTCTTACATTGTTTTCATGGCAGTTAAAGGAGAATCATATTATTGGGCAGTGTGAAAGTATCCATAAAAAAATAAAAACAACTTCTCCCCACTTCCCTACTGTGATTGCATTCTCCCTGATGTCTGGTTACAGGACTGTGATTGACATATTCCAGAGTATGATCAGTTTGTGTGGGGCCAATTTTAGGTTTAAAAAAATCAAGCTAATAAGAATTTGAAATACTACTTTCAATGTAAAAATAAAACAACTTTGAGCATTCTTGTACACCATGCCATTGGTTATACTGAGAGTTTTCTAGTCTCTGCCTAGAATGCAACCAAATCAAATCAAAACATTTATTTCGGTCATTGACCAGCACAGGAAATAGTGTCACATTTCCATACAAACCTGGCATGTTTGGTACATTAAAAATATAAATACAACTACTAAAAACACAATATGGGTGAGGGAGCAGAAGGGGAAACAGGGTAAAAACATACAATGCCCAGATCCATCACCAAATTGTAGATTCAGGGAAGAAGATTACTGGACACACAGTTGACTTTTGGAGCTAGTCATTCCCTGGCGGATTTTGTATGCTGCTGCACAGAACTTTGCGACATTGTAGGTTGTAGCTGAATTAGTATCCGCAAGTAGCAGGGAGGTATAAAATTGTCCTGAATGGCCTGGGTGCTTATCTATCAGGGGTAAGATAAGCCTGGCACGGATATCCCTGTAGAACGGACACTGAAGGAGCACATGTTCTATTGTTTCCACATGATCTGAGTCACAGGGGCAGAGTCTCTCTGGGAAAGGGATCTTCCGGTAGCGGCCCTCGAGTACAGCTGATGGGAGAGCATGGCATCGGGCCAGGGTGAAAGCCCTTCGATGAATAGGAACCTCTAAGTATGTTAAATATGCCATAGGGGAGGCAAGGTATCTGCTGTCTTCACTGATAAGGAAGGTTGGAGCCGAGGCCAGATCTAGTTGGCGCTCTGTGTCTGTGATACGTTGTTTAATAAGTGCTTTGGCTTGATTGTAATCCATAGCTAATAGTAGACCTGGAGAAAATCCCAACGAGGAGATTTTGGATGCTACCGCCTGCTTCCATGTGGATTGGAAGTCATCCTCCATGGTTAGTGGGGCAAGGCCAAGGGGTGCACGGGACAGTCTGAGCCAGAGGTTAAGTATGGCCACCCACACCCTGGCCTCCACTCTCATAAAACCCGTCTCTAATCGCAGGGTAGCATTAGAAACACATTTAGGTACCTGCAAGGCCGATCTCAGAAACTTGGACTGAACCACCTCTAATGGGGCAAAACTGGGGAAGGGGCCCAGCTGAGC